GGGGCGGCCCCGGGCCAGCAGTAGCCTCGGCACGGAGCCGACGGCTGCCACCCGCCGGATCGAGCAGCAGCGCAGAGCCGGAGGACGACGAAGGAGGTAAGACCTGGGACCGGTGGCCCGGCGGGGGCCCCGGTGTGGGGGAGGGGAGGGCTGCGGCTCGGGGCCCCTCTCCGCCGCCGAACAAAGGGGGGGACGCGGGCCGGGTAGCCGGGGGCGCCACCTGGTGGGCGCGGATTGCCGTTGCAGGGCCAGCAGGGGAGCCCCCCGCCCAGCTCCCTGGGTCCGCCCGGCCCCGGGGGTTTGGGCGGCTCCTCTACTCCTTAAAAGGCTCTGTGCGCCCAGCATTGGGGGCCAGGTCGGAGGGGCCCAAAGGTCAAGGCGCAGCAGGGCCCCAAGCTGGTGGACTGGCAGCCCCCGCCCCTTTCTCTTTCATATTCCCAGGTGGTCTCCCTTAACCTGCTGTCTTAAAAGTCTGTCCATATCCTGGGTCTCTTTCGGGTGTCTTTCCCCGGCGGAGCTCAGCTCAGCTCGGAACTCCGCTATTTGAAATCCGGATCCCTTTCTTTTCTTGTGGCCTCGTTAAAGACAAGCACCCTCTTTTTCTCTACATTTTCCCTAGGAAAGTACATAGCTTGTGCCTCGGGGGCCCATCATCACCTTCCCCCATTGCGGGCAGTTTTTAGAGGGATGGGTTCGCCCATAACGTCCTCCAGCCCGGGCATTATCTCTTTTCTAAAAAAAAATTTTTTTTTGCCCTAATTTGTCAACTATAGCGGAACCATCCCCGTTCGCTCTGCAGAGTCCGTTTCCCTGCTGCAGGGTCAACGCCTTAAAACCAGAGAAGGTTCCGTCCAGGCTCGGGAGACTCTGCCCTAATCTCTGGACTCCATTCCCTGTCCCTCCCCTCCCAGAATCTCCCCAGCCCCTTTTGTTTTTAAATAACCTCAGCTCCTCCCCCTTTTTCGGCTCTTAAAGGGCCAACCTAGCTCAGACTAGCCTGGATCCGGCGCTGGAAGGATGCTCAGAGACCAGCTAGCTATCCAGTGCCTTTGCAGACAAAGAAGCTCAGGCCTAGAGGGCAGACAGGACTTGTCACAGGCCACAGAGCAAGTTAACAGTAAAGCAAGGACTCCAACCCAGATCTATGGCTCTGAAGCCAATAGATTCTATGGATCTACTTAAAAAAATAAAAACTGAAACAAACAAAAAACCCTCACAGCAGTGATAGGAGCCCTCTCTGATCTTGTCTTTTGTTTTTGTGACCCTGGGATTGTCCACTGGGAGAATGACCAGCACCTGCCTGTGTAGCTTATGTGCCCAGGAGACCATTTTCTAAATAAAAGGAGTCAAGACTGTAGGAGGAGTGGGGGACTGCTCTGGGTATCTTTCTGGCAAAGGAAATGCTACTGGGTTAGTTGGGCCTCTCCAGTTCCTGCTCTTCTGACTGCTGGGCATGGGTAGTGGCTGACCCCCTGCCAGAGCAAAAATTAAATCCCCAGAAAGACTTAATAGACTCCAGTGGGTGGTGGCTACTCCCTGCCGCAGTGTCATCAGTAGCCACTCTGGTGGCCCTCCTGACATCCGTTTTCAGGGTCAGTGGCTCCCCTAGACTCTAGGGGAAGTCTTGGTCTGAGAAGCTCTTTCCCCTGGAGGTGCTGACAGCTTTGTCTTGGGGATTTCTCCGGTGCAGGAGCCTATATTTGGGGAACCGATAATGCTTAGCTCTTCCTCAAATGGGACTCTCAAGAGCCTGTGTTTGAGGCATTATTGGAGAAAGGGTGAAGACTTTGGGTGTGGCCCTCCTTCCTGGGGCCCCAGATGGGTGGGTCCTGTGTGTAGCCCTGGATGCAGACAGATGCCCCCTTTGTTCCTCTCAGCCCTCTGCCTGTACTCCATTCTGCCTGCTGCTACTCTCCTGGCTTTATCCCTGCAGCTCCCGTCCAAAAAGGGCACCTTACAGAGCTGGCTGCCTCTTTGGCTCTCACCTAATTTTTAAAAAAGTGTTAGAGCTAATTTGCCCAGTGCCCTGCATCCTTTTGTTCTTGATCCTTTCTTAAAGAGTCCTTGCTCTTTGTAAAGAGCCAATGTTTTGGGTCCCTGCTTCTCCTACATCCTTTTTCCTGCCCCTGAACACCCCACCCTCACCTCTCTTTCTTGGGCTTTAAAAAGCCCTGACTTCTTTCCCTGGATATCAGAGATTGAAAACTGTCTCCCTTTCACCTTCTTCAGGGCAAGATCTTCAGCTGGAAGGGGGTGCCTTGGGGTCCTGGGGGAATACCCCCCTGCCCTCCTCCAGGGCCAGGGGACCAGCATCTTCAGGCAGGAAATACTCAGACCACTGTGAGGCCCGGGCCTCAAGACCTGGAAAAAGCCGCATCCCTGGCCGTGACCACCGGCGCTACTACCATGACCACTGGCGGCTGGAGTACCTGATGGACTTCAACCCTGCACGGCATGGCATGGTGTGCATGGTGTGTGGCAGCTCCCTGGCTACCCTCAAGCTCAGCACTATCAAGCGGCACATCCGCCAAAAGCACCCCTATTCCCTGCACTGGAGTCCCCGGGAGAAAGAAGTCATCAGCAACAGCTGGGACGCTCACCTGGGGCTGGGGACCTGCGGAGAGGCTGAGGGCCTGGGGGTCCAGGGGACTGAGGAGGAGGAGGAAGAAGAAGAAGAGGAGGAGGAGGAAGGGGCCAGCCTCCCAGCTTGCCCTCCCAAGGGCCCAGGTAATACAGGTCATGGAGAGGCAGGGGCCTAGGTGGTCAGTGGGTCACATGGGGACAGCTTCTCTGCCAACTAGCTGGTCTCCTTGAGGTTACTGCTCCTTCTCTGGGTGTGGTCTGTTTATAGGGGAGGATTGGGGGGGGGGGGCTCTGACATTCCTGGTAGTGTTGTCATTTTGTGCTCTGTGCAGGATTAATAAGAGTAAAGGTTGAGGGACAGGCCTGGGAAGGCCAGGAGTGAGGAGGCCAGGCTGGGTTGCTGAAGGCTTGGGAGGGTGCTGGAAAGGTGCAACTCATCAGCCAGTGGGGCAGGGGTTAGATCCTGTTTCTGGGGGAGGAAAAGAGGGGGTTAGAGTGTCTGAAGGAGGATTTAGAGAGCTGGAGGTCAGATGTGAGGGGAGAGGAAGAGAAGGGCAAAGGTTAGGTCTGGGGCCTCTGAGTTTGATAAGCAAGTGAGAGAGAGGCTTGTGAAGGACCTGGCTGTGGCAGGGGGCTCCCTGAGAGGGCAGTGTCTCAGTTCCTTCCCTCCAACCCTTTCAGGCAAAGCCCCAGCTGGTGGGGGCTGCTGGCGCCAGCGACGAGGGGGCCCAGTGGCACCCCGTGCTCGGCGTCTGCGCCTCTCAGCTTCCCGGAGGGCCGGGGGCAGCAGGGGGCTGGGGGCCCGGCGCATGGAGAGGAGGCTGAAGGAGTCCCTGCAGAACTGGTTCCGGGCTGAGTGTCTCATGGACTATGACCCGCGGGGGAACCGGCTGGTGTGCATGGCCTGTGGCCGGGCATTGCCCAGCCTGCACCTGGACGACATCCGTGCCCATGTGCTGGAGGTGCACCCCAGCTCCCTGGGGCTCAGCGGTCCCCAGCGCAGTGCCCTGCTGCAGGCCTGGGGTGGCCAGCCTGCAGCTTCGCTGTCTGAACTCACCCATTCCCCACCAGGTGCGAGGTCCATCCTAAGCTGAGGCCCTGTCATGTTAGGGCTGCAAGGGGTCTGTGGCCAAAACTGGGAGGCAGGAACTTCTGGCTGAGGGCCAGGAACTCACTCCCACTCCCTGCTCATAGAAGTCAAGGCCTCTAGCTTGGGGCTGGGGTGAGGAGCAAGGATGGACCCCTCTGCGTGGGTAAGGGCAACCTAGTCAGTGGTCTGAGCCCTTCTCCCTCACCCCTTCCCCAACAGACGATGACCTCGTCCCCCAGGACCTGACCAGAAAGAGGAGCCGGGATTCGCCCCCGGCTGCTGGATCCTCCTCCTCTCAGGATCTCAGCCCCCCAGACGTAAAGGAAGAGGCTGGCTGGGTCCCTGAGAGGCCCAGGCCCGCAGAGGAGGAGGAGGAGCTGGAGGAGGGCGAGAGGGTGGGGGTCCCGGGCAGGTTGCCACCGGGCCTCAGCCACCGCCGCCACTACCAGGAGCGCTGGCGGCTGGAGTACCTCATGGAGCTGGGCGGCGGCCGGCGCGGCCGGGTGTGCATGGTGTGCGGGGGCTCGCTGGCCTCGCTCAAGATGAGCACCATCAAGCGGCACATCCGCCAGCGCCACCCGGGCTCCACGCGCCTCGGCGGGCTGGTCAAGGCCCTCATCGCCCAGGAGTGGAGCGAGAAGGCCGCCCATCTGCTGGCACTGAGCCTGCCCTGCCCAGAGTCTCCCCGGGGCCCTGCCGCCCCCAGCACAGCCGAAGCCTCCGAGGAGGGGGGAGGGGACGAGGAGGAGCCTGAGGAGGAGGAGTGGTGGGGTGAGCTGGTGCGGGTCAGAGCAGGTGGAGAGGGAGAGCGGGCAGGGCCTTAGTCAGGCAGAGAGAGAGGGCTGGGCGCTGCTGGGGTAGAAGGGAGAATTAGGGTATGGGTCGCAGGGCGAAGGTGGAGGGATCACGGAGGTGGGACACGGGGTATGGCCTGCTCCCCTCCCACACCAGTTCCAGCGCCGCTTTTTCTCCTTCATTCACTAGGCGACATCCCACTCTCCACTGGGGCTCCGTTGGAGCGGCCCGCCGAGGAAGAGGACGAAGAGGACAGCCAGGAGCCGGGGGGACTCCTCTTGCCGCTGCCACCGCCGCCGCCTCCCCCGCCACCGCCGCCCCGAAGCCGGGAGCAGCGGCGGAACTACCAGCCTCGCTGGCGGGGCGAGTACCTGATGGACTACGACGGTAGCCGGCGCGGCCTGGTGTGCATGGTGTGCGGGGGCGCGCTGGCCACGCTCAAGGTGAGCACCATCAAGCGGCACATCCTGCAGGTGCACCCCTTTTCCATGGATTTCACGCCCGAGGAGCGCCAGACCATCCTGGAGGCCTACGAGGAGGCGGCACTGCGCTGCTATGGCCACGAGGGCTTCGGGCCGCCGGCTCCGGCCCCGCGCGACGGCGGCGCGGACCTCAAGTCAGGCGCCGTGTGCCGGGCGTAGCGGACTCGCGGGCCGCGTGCCCTGTGTGCTGCCCGGCCCTCGGGCTGGGATCCCCTGGAGCCTGTTTCGGGCGCTTCCCTGTTGCGGGCGTCCTGGCCGCTACGGCGCCCCCCCCGCTGGCCGGGCCGGGCCGGGCCGGGCCAGGCAGAGATGGGAGCTTCGGTGCTTGGGCGCTTACGTCCCCAAGGTCGTCGGTGCCTCGAGGGAGGCGTACTTTCCCTTGGGCCCCAGAGCTCCGGCCCTCTCTAAATTGGGCCCCACGTTTTCCAAGAAGCCAAAGCGGCCTCCACGTGTGAGCACGGAGCGCTCCCGCGCTGGGCGGGGACGGGAACGTTGTCAATCAGTATTAAGGCCGAGGGAGGGGCTCAGGGAGGGCAGGAAGGACGCACGGGCCCGCTCCCTGGCCGAGGGCCCGGCTCTTCCTTGCACTCTGCAGGCTCGGCTCCCGGCTCGGGAGCTGCTGGCTGCCCTCTCCTAATTGGTATTCTCGGCCTCTCGGAGGCCCCGACTGCGGATGGGGGCCTTCTGTGGGAGGCGGGGTCTCGGGCCGGAGGCGGGGCCATGCGCTGGGGGCCTGGGCGGAGAGGGGCCAGGCTGGGCCGGCAGAGCCAGAGCGCCCCGCGGTCCCACCCTCGCGAGTCGCAGCCACCCTCTCCTGGACGGAGGTCGGGTGAAGGGATTAGCACTTTTTTCCTTTGCTCCTCCTGCCCTCCGGACCTCCGCCTACCCCTAAGCTCAGTCGGGCGCTCTGGGTCGGGCACCGGGTCTGTCCGAGTCCGGGACACTGGCGGTCCCGGCTGGGGGCGTTCCCTCCCCGCCCCATCCCTGTTCTCCTTTGTGGGGGACGTGCTACCCATTCTCAGCCCCCAGAGCCCGGGGCCGGGCCTAGGCCCCCCTTGCTCTTCCCCGCAGCAGCGCCAGGCATTATGAGGCGGGGAAGGGGCCCTGCGATCTCCCAGGCAGGTCCGAGAGGGATGTATAGATTTATTCTCCTGTGGAGAACTGCTGGCCCTGAGATCAGGCCCTTTTTGCTCTTTGTATTTTATTTTGAAACTGTATTTAATGCTTTTATATGAAGGGGTGGGGGCGGGAAGAGCTGACCCTATCACCCTATGTGCAAATGTCTTATTTATTATGCGTGTGTCAGAGATAAGCTGTGAGGTGTTGGAGGAAGGACCTAAAGGAAGGAGAGAGGACAGAGGCGGGTGGGACCCTAGTAAGCTATGCTGATGTGATATCTGCTCTGCGCAGAGAGGCCGCTGCAGGCACAGGTTCCTCGGCCCTGGAGTCAGGGTTGGCAGGTCAGCTGTGGGACTTGAGGGTTGAGTCTGGAGGGAAAGGAGCCCTGGCAGCAGGGGCCAGGGGCTGCCTTTGTGGATGGGAAAGCAGAGGCACAGCTGAAGCCTGGCTTCTCATCCCTGCACCCCAGGCCAGAGCCCAGGGTTCAGGTGCCACAGACCCACTCCTCTTGCTCTTCCTGGTTGGGAGTTGGATTTTATACCACGTATTTTATAGCATTTTTATATAATTTAAGATTGTCAGAGTTGGAAGGTAAAGCTTTCACACAACCAGGTAGGAACAAAACGAGAACTAGAATAACACCAACTCTCGAATCAGTGTATTTTGCACTACACCACACTGCCTCCCAATCCCTGGTAAATTACTACAGTTTCTTTTCATTGCTATGCTGCCAAGGGATGACATGTGCTGTTAGTGCAGCTATGCCTCCGCGGGTCTCAAAGACCTGCACACTTGCTTGGGATGAGTAGGCTGAGCTCTGTAAGGCAGCTCTTGGCATAGGCCTGGGCTGGAGGGTGCAGGCGGCAGCCTTTCCTCTCCACTGAGAACTCCAGAGATGGGGCTGACTACTGCCTGGTCCAAGGCCTCCCTAGCAGGGAGCAGGGCTCAGTGGCTTTGGGTTCTTTGTTGCTGAGGCCAGCAGGAATTCAGAAAGATCCTGAATGGGCTGTCAGATAACTGAAAAGTGAATTACAGTGCGTTTTGACCTCCATATTTTTTGAGACAGTATTACAAACTTGGGAGCAGGTTTTGGGTGGCACCAGGCTGAGCACTGCTGTTCTTCTACTTTCCTTCATGCATATTGTTTTCAGATCTGGAGTGAATATTCTTTTTCTACTTTGCCTGCTCAAAAACAGTAGGCAGGCAAATTGGGACAGCTAATTCTAATCATCCAAGCCCACGGCCAAAATTCAGGTAAGCCAGGGCAGTGATTAGGAATGGTTTTTCCCCATCTGAAGGCAAGGACAGGCTTCAGCAGGACAGAGTGGCTGTCTTCACTGAGACAGCCCCAAAGCATGACAGTGGTTCTTCAAAGTGTGGCCCCCAAACCAGCTTAGGAATGTGATAGAAATATTCTTGCCTCTACCCCCAGCCACCCAGTCTGGTAAGTGCTTCAGTGACACTGATGCAGCTCAAGTAATGTGCACCAGTGACCTGAAGTGCTGCTGCAGTTACAGGTCAGAGTCAGGGGTTAGCTGGTCCTCATCCCTAGGTGTGCCTCTTTGGCTTGGGATTCTGACATGAACAGGTGAAGTTTCTTCATTTTTTTTTTTTTTTTTTTGAGTTAATGGTATGCTTGCTATTATGGCCAATATGTAAATGTTACTCTGAACACATATTTATATACCACGTTACTTAGTGACATTATTCGAACTTTTGTATGCGTATTTGTGAAGTTGTTTGCATCAGTCATTTAAAGAATATTTCAGCCTAAGTTTCCTAAGAGGTATGTTGAATTAATTTTTAAGAATCAGCTTAAGGGTCATAGCAGCTTTAGTTTAGGGCAAGAGCTAATTTCAGCAATGACCTGATGTATTTAGTTCCCATTTTCCATGACAGACTCCCAGTTTAAGTGCATCATGGCTGTGAGTGATCCACAGGCTGCTTCATGTGGCAAGCAGGGAACATTCCCAGAGGACAGCAGACGCCTCTGGTCCTTTCCACTCCTCATTTTTCTCATAAGGTCATCCCTTTAGGGGTCTCTTATTTTCTTTTAGAAAGCAAATGCACAGGTAGAAATTCCATAATCTTGGAAATCCTTACCAGTATCAACTATTAATTGCTTTTTAAAGCCCCCAAAGTGAGGATGGGGGAGTGGAAGCCTTGTTTGGATCTTACTTTCCTCAAACTGTGTATAAAGAATAAAGTTAGCAGAACGACACCAGTCACTGTGTTGTGTTTTTTTTTTATTAATACCACATCAACTTGCAGGTTTACAGGAACCAATAGTCAAGCTCCTTAGGTGCTACTGTATTTTTATGTTGCACGCACAGACACGCACACAGTTTCATTAGTAATTTTTTCACCTATATATTTAAAAAAAAAAATTCCTGCGTGGCACAAAGATCTCTCCAATTATCTAAACACAGCAGCAACAAAAGAAAAGAGCCAGATGTGGAGGCTTCCAGTGCAGAGAGAGGTCCTTTGGAGGGGAAGCCCAAAAAGACAGATCAGTGCATTGACTTCCGGGAGGGCAAAGGGCGACAGAGAATGCATTTCCTACTATGACATGTAATCAGTTAAAAAAAAAATTCAGAAGGGGGTTAAGAAAATACAGTAAGATAAAGGTACCTTTTCCCCATCTAAATACCTAAGTAATTTTCAAAAAAAAGTGGAAAGAAAATTTCCTCCCACCACTTTCTACAGCACAGTACTTCAGGACAAGCCTTACTTTAAACTCACAGTGCAGGTTCTTTCACGTTTGCTGCATTTTCATGTTGAAGGGGAGGAAGAAACAACTTCAAATGGGAATCAAAGCTTCCCAGTTGCCCTCCACCTGCTTGCTGTCAGTGTGGTTCTCCTGCCTTTTAATTGTATCATCAACAAAATCTGGCTGTGCCTGCCCACCCTCACCTAAAACTTCTTGGAAAACAGTCTCCAAAGCAGTACCCTGGACCATGGCAAGGGTGCCAGTAAGACCTTTTGCAAGAAAGAGCCCTCAAAATACCCATTAAGCTAGCCTCAAAGCAGTTAAAACTCTGTATGAACCACAAAAAACACTTCCCTACGCTAATTTGTGGTCTTAACCACAGACACACACAATCTCTCAAGCCAGTTAGGCTTTGGTCCTTAGGCTAAAATGATGAACACAGGCTAAAGATGCAGAATATGAAAATGAAGCTGCAGGGAAAAGATCAAGATAAAGGCTTTTTGTGTTTCCATACTTCACTTTGTGAAACCCCCCCACCCCCGCACAGGCTGAGATAGGATTACAATAACTCAATAACTGAGGAGCCCACATGCAGATTATTTTTTCTCTAACAAGTTTACAGCAGTGTACAGCAGTTACAGACATTTATTCATAATAAGAAAAGTACAACCATATTTATTAAACTTGAGGTGAGGTGGAGAGGGGAGGAAAGCACATTCGGGAATGAGTTCTCAAACTAATGCTCAGAACTGGTGTCCAAGAGAAATGACACAGAAACCACCTTCCCAAATGGTGGAGCTTTCCTTCCCTAGGTTGAGTGAGGGACACCACAGTGCTACCGTAACTCCCTCTCTGGTTCTACTTTCTGCTTCAGTTCTTTTTTAATCAGATGGCATTCTGGGAATCAGGAATTATCACTATAATCTATAAGTTACTCATAGAGTTGGAAGTTATATCATTAAAATGAAGAGGAATATTAGGAGTAGCTGCTCATATCATCTTGGGGCAGAAGATGAGATCTGAGGGCTGCAAAAAACCCAAGGAAGGAATCACACTCCTGTCCCCAAATAATTTCTTCATAAGTTAATCATTATTTCTTAACTTAAAAACAAGGGCAAAACTATAATGGGAAGCTGAGTAAGACCAGTCCTGAAAATTGAATAGAAGGACCCAAGAGATGGTGTTCTATCTTTCATTTTCTCTTCTACCTCCAATCTTTCCCTTTTCAAGCTATAGGTAAAAGCTCCACCACCATTAAGGTATTGATTTATCTTATGAATTTCATTCTTTCTTTATTCTTTCGGGTTCTAAGTTCTCTTTTTAGCCTAACAATTCTTGTGCTTGATATTGAGGGCTGAGGGAAAGGAGGGGGATAAAACACCAAATTTAAAAAAAAAAAAAAAAAGCTTGGAATGCAGGCTCAAGCTGACACCGAGCACGTTCCTTCATAGTACAAGTAACAACGCTATTAACTATTAAATGGTGTTTTAGTAACTGTTGGATTTCTGGCTTCCAGATGCTTATTCTGCCTTTTTTTTGGCGATTCCAGGGAGTTTTGCTTGGATCCTATTGAGGAAAGAAAAAAATGAAGATGAAAGCATAAACATTTGCTTTAGGTTTCTAATAGTGATGCTAGAAGACAGCCCCGGACTTGCTCAAGCAAAGTGAAAGACATTCTCTCATTTCACATGGGGATGGAAGAAAAGAGGCAAGGTCTGAGTCTAGCCTGGATGAGCCTGCAGGATCCACAAAGATCTCCCACCACTGCCCCTGCCTGCGTCTTTCACTCCCAGAACCTCCTAGGTCCTTCACTGGGGTTCCAGAGAAGGAGGGTATTGGGCATGATGCCTGCTGACTATGCTCTACACACGGGCAGTGCAAGAGCCCATTTCTCTGGCTCTGTGAGGTACAGGTAAAGGAATGCCAGGTCACCCACTAGTGCCACAAAAGGAACCATAGGCACCATGAAAACATGTTAAGAGGACATGGGTCATCAGTTCCTGGTTCTCATGACTACAGAAGCTAGCAAGACTTTCTAGTCTTTCACAGGACACCAAAGCTGCCATTTATTCTAGCAAAGGTGTTCTGAAATCATTAAAGCTACCCATCGCTGTGGCCAATCATTCCCCTAAACAACTGTCAAGGCTACCCTCCACAAGTGTCACATCTCATAGCAGGTGACCCAAGTCAGCTAACAGTGGTAATCAAGATATCAGATCTGAAGCTGTACTATGACCATTTTACACCAATCAGGAATAAACAACAACGATATACAGCAAACCTCCATAGTTGACCTAATTTTCATAGACCAGACATGTAGCACATGTATATGTACGTATCAGCACAGTAGCCCTAGTTCCTTATGCTGACCTCCTCTGTATGCTGACCAATTTGTTCCAGAGGTTCTACTGTATATATTCCTGCTAACTATCTCATTTGGTTTTAGCACCAGTATATACCTAAAAAAGCAAAAACAGCAGGTGAAGATCTTGGCATCAAGCCAGACCTGTCTGGACATTTATATTCGTAGTTCCCTCTTATTTTAACTTTATTTCTTTTGTAGCAAGAGGATCTTGCTATGTTGTTCAGGCTGGTCTCAAACAATCCTCCAAAGTGCTGGGGGTTACAGACATGAGTCACTGTACCTGGCCTTAACCAAGATTTTTATCAGGCTGAAAATTACTTTCTTTGGCATTAGAATTTTATGCAGGGGACTAAAGATAACTGGGGAGAAAGCACATGTCATGATGAAATGGTCCCTAAATGTACTTACTTTTCAATAATTGACTTGGTCTGATCCCGGGCAATGCCAACATAGTGATCAATCTGGGTCTTTAAGGAAGAAAAGTAGATTCAGTTGTGGCAACACAAAGAGTAACAATTTTCCTGAGGGCACTATTCTTTCGTCCAGTTTGACCCGTTTTAAAAAATCACTATTGGGTGGCACCTGTGGCTCAGTGTGTAGGGCGCTGGCCCTATATACTGAGGGTGGCGGGTTCAAACCTGGCCCCGGCCAAATTGCAACAACAACAACAAAAAATAGCTGGGCACTGTGGTGGGCGCCTGTAGTCCCAGCTACTTGGGAGGCGGAGGCAAGAGAATTGCCTAAGCCCAGGAGTTGGAGATTGTAGTGAGCTGTGTGATGTCACAGCATTCTACTGAGGGTGATAAAGTGAAACTCTGTCTCTACAAAAAATAAAAAATAAATAATCGCTATCGACTACTCTAGAAAATGAAAATAATGTCCAATTTTTTAAAGTATTTGAAAAATTTCTGGCTTTAGACTCCACATTATGTCCTAAATGTCCCACATTTTCTTTTTTTTTTTCTTTGTTTTTTTTTTGAGACAGAGCCTCAAGCTGTCACCCTGGGTAGAGTACTGTGGCATCACAGTTCACAGCAACCTCCAACTCCAGGGCTCAAGCGAGTCTCCTGCCTCCATCTCCCAAGTAGCTGGGACTACAGGCGCCTACCACAACGCCTGGCTATTTTTTGGTTGCAGCCATCGTTGTTGTTTGGTGGGCCTGGGCTGGATTCAAACCCTCCAGCTCAGGTGTATGTGGCTGGTGCCTTAGCCACTTGAGCCACAGGTGCTGAGCCCCCACATTTTCTTAAAGAAAA